TGGAGCCAACAAAGAAGCTGAGATGCAAGAGAAAGGAAAGGCCAAAGCAAAAGAAGTTGGGAGTCCAAACGCCAAATCTCAAGGCAAAAAGATGGCCGATGTTGGCGCTAGTGAGCAAGTTCCTCAAAAGAAGAAGGGCACCACCCCAGCTCAAAGGCAACTCTTTGACAAGCTGCAAAAGGTAGATGTGAGGCCAACTAGATACCCCCATGTGCCATCTCTCAAGGCCTTGAGAATCTATGAAGACTGCTCTTCTATGCTTAAGACAATGGAGCTCACAAAGCTAGTGGGAACTCCTTATTCAGCCAACAAGGACCAAGTGCTTCAGTTCTTTGCAAGTTTTGAAGTGACATTCTATGAACCAGGAGAGGAGACTCCTGATGAAGATGGTTATGGCTTCATCACTTTCAGAGTTTCCAAGAAGAACTATTGGATGTCCTTCTCAGCAATTAAAGATGCCTTTGGATTCTCCTATGGAAGCGCTAGAGGTCAAAATCTTGGGATTACCAAAGAAGAGATGGGCAGCCTTTGGGAGCATGTAGCCAAGGGCGCTTTCAAGCCAGGAAGAAGCAAGGCTTTTCTGATCAGAAACCCAGCCATCAGATATGTGCACAAGGCGCTGGCGCATACACTCTTTGCTAGGAAGGAAAGTGGAGCGGCTGAAGGAGGAGAATGTGAGCTTATTGATCAAGGTCTTATGAGCATACTTAACTGCACAAGGCAAGGTGTTGAGCTCAAGGGAGCAAATGGGACAAGTGGAATGGTCACCATCTTCATGCAACAACTTCTGGTCATCAAACATTGGTTAACCACCAATGATGATAAGGCTCCAAAGCTGTATTGTGTTGGCCTTATTACACAACTGATAGAAGCTGCAGGAGTTGAGCATCGACCAGCAACATTCAAAATCACATACTTGGACCTGCCTTACCTGAAGAAAGCAAGATTCCTTGGCGAAAATGTGGGTGACAAGTTCATCTACAATTTCATCCAAGAAGATGGATCTGCTGCAAAGCTTCTACTCCCTGCTGTGCATCTCACATCCTTCTCCAACCCCAACAGCTTTGCCTTTCAAATCCCACAGCACCTTCTCTATCAAGCTGGCGCTCCATCCTCTTACATTCACCAAGGCGCCAACACTTCTCTTCCTCAAGGACACTATCCCCTTGTGGTTTTTGAAGGAGGGCAAATTGGAGAAGGAATTCAAGAAGAAGATGAATCAGGTGCTCCAAGCTACAACAGTGAGGAGTACCACTTCCATCCCCATGATGTCTCACACCAAGGAGGTCTCTTGAAGAAGGTCCATGAACACATCAATCTCTTGCAAAGATTAAACAAATGGCAAGACAAAACCATTAAGAAGTTGGTGAAGGGCATGAAGAGCATGAAGGCTCAAATCAAGGACCTAAAGAGGAAGTCTCGTGTAGCCTCTACTTCTGATCATCAACAAGAACAAGAAGCTGAAAGCCAAGGAGTGGCTAGAGGTCCTAGTAGAAGGCGCTCTTTTTCTGGTTATGAGGAAGTGAGAGCTTGGGTGCCACCAAGAGCATCATATCAAGAAGCGCCAAGGAGGAGGAGACACACAAGGAGATAGCGGCCAATAAGGAGCCACAACATTGACCTCATGGAGGACTTTTTTGGGAGCCTCCTACACCTCACACACCACCTTCTAAGGTACCAGAATGTCCTCCATTATATATACCATTGCATAATTTTTTAGTTCTTGTAATATATTTCTGATGCTTCTCTCTTCTACTCTTTTATTACACAAATGATTGTGTAATTTAAGAGTGGGGGAGAGATTTGGGGTTTGACTTTGTTTGTTCTTTTCTTATTTTTTCTTTTTATTTATCTTTGAGTCTCATGCATTCATCTAAGTGCATTAGAAAACCAAAAAAAATAAAAAAAAATAGAAAATTTTGCATCTTTTGCAAGCTAAAAAGAAAAGCATGTAGTTACATTCATTTGTTTAGGATTAAGTCTAGTATTTTTTCATATAGGCTGCATTGCATTTGCATAGGGCATGATGATGATAACTCCCTGTGATATGCTAAGTGTTTAGGACTGATTTAAATGTCGAAGTAATTAAATGTTTTATGCATCATAAGAAGTTAGAAACTAAGGTTGACCCATGCTCTTGAATGCTAAATTTGATCCTCTAGTCTCGTGATAAAATCGCTTGCTCTTTGAAAATCATCCCTATTTATTAGAACCATTAATTTGAAGTGTTAATTATCAAGCTCTTGCATTGAAAAGTGGTTTCATAGATTACCCATATACATATTTGGACTTTCGTTCTTCCTCTTTACCTCTCTTGCTAGTCCAAATAGCTGATCCTCACCATTAAAGGACAGTTACCACACCTTAACCTTACCTTCCTTTCAAACCTAAACATTATCTTTGTGTGTGAGGCCTATTTTTGAATGAACTGAGCATCAAGTGTTAGGTAGGCATGACAAGGACTGGTTACTATGTAGAACTAGCTCTTCACTTTGAGTTAGACATAGGTTTAGGATGGTAGTTATAGGTCTGGGCGGATTTGAGTGTTACATTGATCTAAAAGGAGAGAGTGAGAGAAGAAAGAAAGTAAATGGGGAAAGGAATGAGAATGGGGAAGCAAGCAAAAACTCAGCATGTGTTGAACCAAATAAGCTCAAAAAGGGTGGCCATTATGAAGATGGAGTCTCAGCAACAACAACAAAGAAGGCACCAAAGCCTAAATACATCAAAATGATGAAGAAAAGGAGACTCCTCAATACGAAGAAAAGGCGCCCACAACAAGGGAGCAAAAAGAAGGCCACAACATGGTGAGATCAAAGAAGAAGCTTCCCTGAAAATGGCAAAGTGTGGAGAGAAAGGGTAGATAGGATTCGGTTTGATTTGGGGTAAGAGTTTTGAGGTTTAGAACATTTTTAGGCATTGGGTAGATAGTAATCAATCCTTGTATGCATAAGTTGTGGTTCACCTTTAGCATTATGCCTAAGTTTAATCCTTTTTGAGAGAAACTCCTACACTTGAACCCACATTTTGATGAGATCATTTTTATCTCATGACCTTAACCCTTAGCCAAATGATTCCACTTGATTTATGTGAACATGATTCACTTGGTTACAAATTTTAAATGAATGTTAAAGGAATTGATTGATTTGAGCATTTGACTAAGCTGAACTAGAGATCATTTTGAAACTGGATAGGCATGGCTAGGTTCTTTAAAGTATAACTAATTTTGTTTTGCATCCTACACTTAGGCACTTAGACATTGACTTCACTTCTTTACCTTAGCATTTTTGAATTTGAGTGCCCACCTTCAAACCTCACTTCCTCCTTGTCTTAGTTTGTTTGCTTGAGGACAAGCAAAATGCAAGTGTGGGGGTGTTGATATCTCCATTATTTATACCATTTTAGCTTGCATTCATCAATACTTTTAGTCATTAGACATGCATATTTTGCTTCTTCTTGTCCTTTTTGCATACATTTAGGAGTTTGTGTAGTTTTAGGATCTGCATTGCATTTTGCATGCATTTGGAGTTTTATTCAGGTACTAGAAGGAGTGTGGAAACCATGTGGTTCAATGGATGTGAGCTGGGAATGAAGCAAGAAGGAGGACAAAGGCGGATAGGCCAATATCGATGACAATATCGACATCATCTGATCGATACGGTTCATATCGATAGGAGTATTGATCACTTCAACATCGATACAATGAAGACGTGGTGTAAAGGCAGCATATTGACTTAGGGAGACCTCGATGCAACAGAAGGGAGCCCATACCGAGCAGCGTATCGACGTCCCAGACCGATATATAGAGACGGGACAATACCGAGGTGCAATATCGACTTGTTTGCCCGATGAAATTTAACTAAAGGGCGATTGAATCAACTTCACACCATGGAGAGTCAAACTAATACAACCTTGAAGCCTTTTGTATCGACCAGCATATCGACCAAGGGACATCGATACACCCCAGAAGAAGTGATGATATCGATGTGTGTATCAACGTGCAGGATCGATATGGCCCATCCGAGTAAGTCTATTTTCGGTTTAATCTTGGTTTACTAGGGGTTTCTAAGTTCCCCTATAAATACTAAAGTTCTAAAATTGTTAGGCAACTTAGATCTTATTATTTTTCTTCTGTTCTGCATTTAAAACATTTCCCTTTTCAGCTTTGCTTTGTAAGAACTAGTTTGATTTAGTGAATTTTTGTATTTGCCTTTATTCTATTCTTGCTCATTCTGCTTTTTAATCATGCTTAACCATTATTTATCTTTTGAATAAGTGGTTTTGATTATGGCTAGTGAGTAGTCTTATGTAGGATTTGAGATGGGATAGATTATAGGGGTTTTAGGACTAGATTAGTGATGTCTTATGCTTAATATGATTGTCTTCTCTGTATTAGATGTGCTTAACACTAGATTAGTCTTGCCCAGGATTTTTAGTATCTTGGCTTTCTCTTATGCTTGATAAGTGTTTGATGAAACGCAGCTTTGAGTCTCTCAGAGGATTTGTTCTCTTAGCCTAAGGAATTAGATGTCTAAGGTGCATTTTGGCTTTATAGGATTGGAGTTCTGTCATCAATGCTTGCTTAGTAAAGTAATTAGTGTTAAGAAATTGAGCTAGTTATAGTTGTTAATCGTATGCCTAGAAAATATCATTGTTTGAATGCTTTTGAAGCATCAATAGTTAGGTTCTAATCCCATCTTAATCAATAGCCCCCATCTTAGATCCTTGCTTTATCTATTTGAATTTTCTGCTTTGTTTAGTTCAGTCTTTAGACCTGATTAGTTTGATCACAACTGCATTCTTGAATTTGGCTTGACTTAAGTGATTTGCTGTATTCTTGGTGTCTTATGAACTCAGATAGATTGATACCTTACATGCTGCAATGACATGAGTGTGTTAGGATTTTTTTAGCTAGTCAAAATCCTGCTATCAGCAATCAGCACGGACATTCATATCACGAGGTATTAAAGAGATAGAGAAATTACAAAAAATGATCAAACCATATTAAACTCTTCCAATTCCGACTCTAAGGTCGGCCAATGCTCTTCTTCCTCAATTGCTTTAACTAGTTGGAGACAATCTGTTTCAAAAGCCATGGAGAAAATGCTTATCTGTAGGAAAATTTTCATAGTCCATATAAGCGCTTCAAGCTCAGCATTGATAGGCGAGAGTCTTGTTTTCCTTACTAACAGTCCAAATCGTGAACTACCATCTTCCAATTCAAGTACAGTTCCTCTGCCAAAGACCAGTGCATCTGCGGTCCAAGACCCATCAACTTGGCATCGTGGGCATAGTGTCGTTCCAGTTATTCTGTAGCCACGATTTGATCTATTCGTAAGTTTGTGCCACTTTCCATTCTCCTGATTCTTGTGGAGCCGTCTGAATGACATCCATTGATGAAGTCTCTTTTCCATTGAAAATCTTTTCATTCTGGGATTTCCAAATATACCAGCTTATCCATGGAAAACCTTGATATTCAAGTACAGTTCCTCTGCCAAAGACCAGTGCATCTGCGGTCCAAGACCCGTCAACCTGGCATCGTTGGTATATGTGCCGTTCCAGTTATTTTGTAGCCACGATTTGATCTAGTCGTACATCATCACCTTGCTCTGCAATAGTTTGTGCCACTTTCCATTCTCCTGATTCTTGTGGAGCCGTCTGAATGACATCCATTGATGAAGTCTCTTTTCTATTGAAAATCTTTTCATTCTGGGATTTCCAAATATATGAGCTTATCCATGAAAAACCTTGATATCAACTGTTGGTACCCCTCTACCTCTTGTATACGAGAGTAGGTAGTCAATATTTAGGTACAACAAATTACAAATCCACTGGAATTGATGGTATCGCTGAGAGAGCCCATGCTTGCAGTGACGATGGGCATTCAAATAGAAGGTGGTTGATTGTTTCTTCTTTAACACCACACCTGCCACACACCCGATCATTGACACAGTGTCTATCAACCAAACAACTATCTACTGCAACACACCCTGAGATTGCTTGCGAGAGAAAATGTTTAATTTTCCTCGATAATTTTAAAGCCCAAACTTCTTTTTTAGTGGCATAATACTTGGTTCTGTCACCATTTGGGGGCCTGTCATATCTCTGATATTATTCGCAAGTTCATATCCTGATTTGACAATGTATGCGCTTGACTTTGTATGAACCCAGCAATATCCATCGGCTTTAATTCTCTGGCTGGTTTTTAGACTTAAAATACGCGGAACCTCTTCCAAATCAAACAGCAGTTGTAGCTTATCCAATCGCCAATCTTTTGTATTTCTGTCAATCAAGTGGGTATCAAAGAGATAGGATCCATTATCTAGGGCTGGTCTCGTTGGGTTAACAGGAATTGAAGGATCACTCCATACATTAGTGTTAAACTCTGATCCAATGGACTTCCGCATTCCAGCTTTGAGGAGGTCTCTAGCAGCTAAGATACTATTCCACCCATAAGATGGAAAATTAACTCCTTATACCTCTATTGGAGTTAAGTATCAAAAATATCTTCCACTGAGAATCCGGGTTTTGGATGATTCGCCATAATTGCTTAGCCAACAATGCTAGATTGAAGTTTTTCAGGTCTCGGAATCCCAATCCTCATTGGTATTGTGACAAGCAAATCTTTACCCATGCTATCCAATGTATAAATTTTTTATCTTGCTTTGAGCTCCACCATTTCAGCTTATTTATAATGTCCTAAGATAGCAGAAAGCAGAACATAACATAAGCTGGTAAGGCTTGGGCTACAGATTTGATAAGGACTTCTTTTCCTCCCTTTGATAGGAGCTTAGACGACCAAGAGTTGATTTGGCTATACAATCGCTCTTGGATGAATGCAAAAGCTTGTTTCTTGGATCTACATATTTTCTCTACGAGTCCTAGATACATCCCCCCCCACCTCTTCGTTCGAGATTCTAAGGGTGCGTTTAAGTTCAGACTTTATATCCGGTGGTACTCGACTTCCGAAGAATATAGAAGATTTCGCTGTATTCAGTTACTTCCCTAAAGCTTGTCCATATTTATTGATTATCGTTAACAACTCTGCACACTGCAGGACATCTGCTTTACAGAAGAATAAATTGACATCTGCAAAGAGTAGGTGAGAAATGGCTGGGCTTGATTGTGCAATTTTAAGTCCTGTGATCCAGCCTTATGTCTCAGCTCCTCAAATATGTGCTATTAATCCTTCTGTAAGTATAATGAATAGAAACAGTGAAAGCGGATCCCCCTATCGCAGTTCTCTGGTTTGTATAATGCTTCCTTTTGGTTCCCCATTAATTAGCACTTGATAAGATACCGGGGAGATACACCATCATATCCAGGATACCGATTTTGAGTCAAAACCCATCTTGATCTTTAGGGCTTCCAAGAAGCTCTATTCTACTCTGCCATAGGCTTTAATCATACCCATTTTAATTGCAACGAATTTCGCTTTACAAACCGCGTTTATTCGCAGTGCGTGAAAGGATTCCTGTGCTAGAAGGATATTATATGTGATTAGATGTCGGGCCATAAAGGCTGATTGGGTCTCCGAAATTATCTTCGGGAGAAAATGCTAAGCCTCTTACTAAGGATCTTACCGATAATCTCGTAACAGATGTTACATAGGCTTATGTGGCAGAACTCGGACATCTCCACGGGTCTTTCCGTCTAGGGGATGAAAGATATATACATTTGATTTAGCCAGGGGTCAAAAACTCCTGATTCAAAAAACTCATTTACCGTTGTGAATATGTCTTTTGCGATGATGATAACTTGCTATATTAAAGCATTTTAGGCTGCATTTCATGCTTCTTTTCTCTTTTTTTTTGCTTTATAGCTTAGCATTTTAGTCTCATTTGCACTTAGAATCAACATTGCATGTATTTAGTTTAGGAATGCATACATATGCATACATTTGCATGTCTTTGGTGTTTTTCAGGTGTTTATGGAGGTTTTACAACTTGGGGAGGAGATGAAAGCAGCTCACATTCAAAGAAGATGCCAAAGAACGAGCTTTGCAAAGTTTGGTCCCATATCGTGGAGAAGCATCGAGCAAAACCTCTGTGGAGTTTGCCTGATGTGAGCCGCGGGACATGAAGATGAGGATTGGATCGAGGAGTCTAAGGCAGTGGATGCATCGAGGTGCTACATCGAGAAGGGAATGCTGCACAGGCCGATACGCGATGCATGTGCCATATCAGGGTTGTACATCGAGCAGAACACCGTCCGTACAACCCCGATACAACTTATCTGCGCGTTGGCCACCGGATTTTTATTGACGCCAAGCTGATTCCTTTTAGATATATTGTCTAGGAGTACAATATTGAGAATTGCTTGCTTATGAATGCTTGATGCTTGTTTTTGCTAGAATTCCCTTTGTCACTCTTGAAAGCCACTAATCCCGTTATTGCTAAGAACCTTGAGTCTTGCTTTTTATTAGTTGTCTTAAAACCGCCTTGCTTAGTTATCTTTACTAGTTTAGTATTGCTTACATTATCTTTTATTTAGTTCTTGCTTTAGATTCATCATACATTTCAATTCTGCTTTCTTTTACTGCATTGCTAGGTTGTTAAAGTTACTATTTCATAGTCATAACCTCCAACCTTGCCTAGCTTACAGCATTGTTTGCATCTCAATATCCACAATTATGTTTGACACATAAGTCCCTATACTACAACTGATTTGGGGATTAAGAATACTTTGAAGTTAACAAGGGCCTCAAAAACCATTTCTTTAAATTGGCGCCATTGCCATTTGTGGATTTTTTGAGTTTAACATTGCTGTTAGATTAAATTCTTTTCTTTTAAGTTACTAATTTGCTCTGTTTTTTCAGGTACTTGTATGAATTTGTGGTCCAAAGGTTCATCAAGGAAACAGATTTCATGGTCTGCTGAATGAAGATCATTTAGATCATTTGGATCAGTTTGACAAAGTGTGTGCATGACCAAGATTCATGGAGTTTCTAAAGATGCTTTGAAGCTGCGCTTGTTTCCATTCAGTCTAGGAGACAAAGCAAATCAGTGAGAGAAAATACTTCAAAAAATAGCATTCATCAACAAATAGCATTCGTCACTCATTATCCACTTGGGATGAATGCAAATAGCATTCGTCAACAAATTCTTCAACTAAACAAGAACAGCAAAGCTCAGGAATACAATTAGCAGCTTTACTCAACATGGAAATGAGACATTTGCTGAAGCATGGGAGCGCTTTAAGTCATACGCTTTGCAGTGCCCTCATCATGGATTCACAAATGAAAGTTTGCTGTCTACATTATACAGAAGAGTGACGCCTAAGTACAGGATGCTGTTAAATATATCTTCAAATGAAAATTTCAAGGGGGGATACTGTTGTTGATGGACAAGCTCTTGGGAAGAATTTGGCACAATCTGATGGAAACTATGGTGAAGAATATGACAGAACATCTAGAGCTGTTGGAAGCGCGAAAGATGAAAGCACAATAAGAAGGAGATCAAAGCTCTGAATGACAAGCTTGACAAGCTGCTGAGTTCATCATTCAAGAGTGTAAGCTATGTGGTTGAGGCTAATGCTACATAAGGAGAAGATGGGACAGTTGTAGAAAAAGAAGCCTTCTACATGAACCAACAAGGAGGCGGTTTCAACAACTACATGAATCACCCAAACTTTTCCTATAGCAGCACAAATGTGGCCGATCCACAAGATCAGGTTTAACCCTCACAAGCTGCTCAACAAAATCAAGGAGCCAAACCATTTGTTCCTTTCAACCAGCAACAAAACTTTGCTCCAAGACCACCATTTCTAGGTGGATTTCAGCAATCTAACTTTCAAGCTAGACCAGCTTTTGTTCCACCAGGTTTTGGGAGTGTCCAAGGTTCTTCTAGTGCACCAGATGGTGAAATTAAGAAGATGATGCAACATATGTTGAATGGTCAAGCAACACCACTATAGAGCTGCACAAAAAGTTTGCTGAAGTGCATTACAAGATAGACACCACCACTTCTGACCTGAATGGCAAGTTGGATGCTTTAAGTCAAATAGTTAAGTCTCTAGAGAGCAAAGGAGCTTCATCTTTAAAGCTTCAGTACTAATTACCAGGAAAGAATGAAGCTAGTCCTAAAGAATCCTGCCATTTGCTTGCTGAAGAGGATGAAGAGTTTGATGATGAAGATGCTTTATTAAAAGACCTTGGTATGATGCTTCAAGAGATGTTGCTCCATATGAACATGGTAAAAGCTGATTGTGGGGGGAATGTCTTGAATGTCACCAATGATGATGAAGAAGCTGTTGATACTGTGAAACAGTTCCACCAAGGGTTAGATGAAAGTTTGAATAAAGCAGAAGAGCTTGCTTTGGAGCAAGACAGAGCTGCAAGAGAAGCTGCTGAAAAGAAAGAGGCTAAGAAAGCCTTAGTTGCTCCAGAAGAAGAAGCCAAACCAGAGCTCAGTGAAGCTGATAAGGAGCTTGTAGAGACATATAATGGTCTTGGTTAGAGTAAGTCCTGAAGACTTTAAAGAGCTGTATTAACGCAAAGTGGGTATTTCTTCAAGCAACAATGAGAAGGGTAAAGATCCTGAAGTTCAAGCTTACAAACCACCAATCTCTTACCCCACAATGCACTTCACCAAGAATCAGA